GGGGGCACCCCCTGCTCAAAGGAGACGGAGAGTGACTCGTCCACCTCGGTGGAGTGTGGGGACCCCACCTCGGCCGGCAGCGAGGGGGTGGTGATGGTGGGGGACACATCAGGGACGTCGTCCTTGAAGGGGCTCAGGGACAGGCAGCCCGTCTGCTTCTCCTGCGAGGAGCTGGAGCTGTCACGCGAGACCTTGGCCGCGGCCGGCGGCCAGGAGTTGGGCTGCTTGTTGGCGTTGGTGCCGGCACCCGGCTCCTCTCCTGCCTCATCCACCGGGGACTGGTGGAAGGGAGTGTGTCCGGCGCTGGCAGGCCCCGAGCTGGCCGGAGACATCATCTCCAGGGTCTTCTCCTCAGAGCTGCCGCAAGGGTCCTCACCACCCTCCGGGCAGTGGTTGAGCAGCCCGGTAGGCGTCAGGTCGAAGTTGACGCTGCGGTCGCTCTTGGGGGTCTTGGCCAGAGGCGACGGGCCACCGGGGACTGGTGGAAGGGAGTGTGTCCGGCGCTGGCAGGCCCCGAGCTGGCCGGAGACATCATCTCCAGGGTCTTCTCCTCAGAGCTGCCGCAAGGGTCCTCACCACCCTCCGGGCAGTGGTTGAGCAGCCCGGTAGGCGTCAGGTCGAAGTTGACGCTGCGGTCGCTCTTGGGGGTCTTGGCCAGAGGCGACGGGGGGCCGATGGCTTTGAAAGGGCTACTCTCGAGGTAGCGGAAGCGCTGGGGGCTGTCGGGGTCCTCCAGGCCATTCTCCATGCAGCCCAAGTCAGCAGCCCCTGGCCCAGCACGTGCCCCAGCCTCCCCGTTCTCCAGCGGGGATGGCTCCAGCTCACTCTCTGCTGTGGTGATGCCTTCATCTGTTGACTCCTCCTTCCTCCTCCCCTCTGCTCCTGGTGATGCAGCCCCCCGGCCCTGCCCAGCTTCTGGCAGCATGTCCTCAGGGGAGGAGGACTTGGAGCCATCCGATGCCCCTGGCTCCTTCTTGTCACCCACCTCCTTGGGCACTTTGGCCTTGGGCTTCTCTGGCTCCTTCTTGAGGGTGGATTTCTTGATGCTCCCAGCCTTGACCAAGGGTTTACGGGTGTCTGGGCCCGGTGTTTTCCGGGCCGTGGGTTTCGCAGCAGCCTTGCCCTCTGCCTTGCTGTCCTTCACATCCTTTCGCAGCGTCTCAGCCTTCACTTCCTTTTTCACTGTCTTCACCTCCTTCCTGGCTTCACCCTTGACCTCAGTCCCATCTTCCTTCTTCAACGGCTTCTTCTCCTCTTTTCGGGCAAGAGGCTCCTTCTTGGGCAGAGTTTTCTCCTTACTCACCTTCGGCTTTGTGTCTGCTTTGAGCTTCTCCATCGAGGAGTCCAGCTTGGCTCGAGCATCCTTGGCTCTCTCCTCCTCAGACCCTGTTCTAGTCATCTCCCCCAGCAATCTTGGCTTCTCCTTGGTCCCTGACTTCACCTCCTTCTTCTCCGTCTTTGGAGCCTTCTCCTTTGGTGCTGGCGTCCCAGTGTCCACCAGGCTCAGCTTGGAAGAGGACTTCAGGCTCTCCTTGCTCTCTGTCCTCCTCTGCTTGAGCTGCTTCTCAGGCTGGGGTGCAGATAGCCCCTTCAAGTCGTTTTTGGTGACCACAGGGTGCTTGAGAAACTCCAGGTGTTTCACCTTCTCCAGCCCCTCCAGGACACGGGCCTGTGGGGTGCAGCCAGGGAAGAGGACCCTGATGATCTTCTCGGAGGGACTGACGGGGTGCCAGACGAGCAGGGCACAAACAGAGGTCAGACACTGTAGGGGCAAGTCGTGCTCCTTGGGGTAGCTATTGCCTGACCAGTGCTGCATGAGGAACTCCAGCTCCTTGGTGCCCTTCACAGGGTTCAGGACGTACATGTCCAGCCGGCCAACCCCCATCTTCTGGAAGAGGACAGTGGGCTCCACGCGGGGGCCACTATCCCGTGCGAGCGGGTTGGGGAGGATGCCCAACTTGTCCAGGTAGTGCAGGGTCAGGGCAGCCTCGTCACAGCTCTTCAGCACCCGGGAGTTGCCCTCGATGTCCTTCAGCTTCTCAGAGGCGTTGAGAAACACAACGCCCAGTTCTGGGGAGATGAGGTTCTTCGCCCAGTCCCCGTTGCCCTGAGCGCCCTGGGACGGGTCCTCCTCCAGCTCCGCCAGCTTCCTCTGCAGCAGGCTGTTGACACCAGGCAAACTGTCAGTGCCTGCATGCGTCACCAGGATGGAGTCGATGCGGTCCAGGTGCCGCACCAGCTTCCAGAAGGACGACTTGGGATTGGAGCCCCCATTCACCAGCACATTGAAGCCATTGACAGCAAAGAAGGCCGAATCCCCTCTCCCACCCGGGAAGATATAGCAGCAGGGCTTGGAGAGCTTGAGGAAACCGACCATGGTGGGGGGCTCGAGGAGGTCAAAGGGGGACTGGGGCTCCAGGGACTCCGAGAGGTACTCCACAAACTCCTCCAGCCCCTCCATCTCCGGCAGGATGCAGCCTGGGTTGTACCGCAGCTCAATGAAGTCCTGGAGGTTGTGATGGTCCAAACCAGAGTCCTTCCACTCTCCAAAGTCAGGGCAGCTGATGGTCAGCCTGGCCTTGGTAGAGGGGTCTGCAGAGCTCAGCATCTCTCCTACCTGTGAGGGCACAGGGACAGTCAGAGTTTCAGGCCCTGGTCACCTCATCCTGCATGGGGCACTCAGGCCGGGCAGCACCTTGGGCTCCCACGTGAGATGGGGCAGCCCATGGGGCACCTCAGCCCTTCCTCCCTCGGCAAGCACAGGGCACACCTTCCCCAGGGGATCTGGGAGCTCCTGTGAGCCTGTCCCCTGCCCATCGCTTGGGGCTGGCTGCAGGCATGATGTCCACAGGGTGCTGGTGCCCTGACTCGCACTGAGGCCCAGACAGGGCTCAGAGGCAGGATGCAGCGGAGCCCCCCACCAAGCTGCTGTTTCCTGGCTCCGGGTCCCTCCCAGCCCTGCGCCGCAGAGGGAGGAACGTGCCTGCCACGAGAGGCAGCGTGTCTGCCTGCGGAGCAGACGGCTCGGCAAGCCTCCCGCCTCGCTCCAGCTCCACTGCCATGCCCAGCTCCCTGCAGAGACGCTGGAGAACGTGAGCAGACAGTCGCTCTGCCAGTGCAGACAGTGCCAGACTGCAGCCCCCTCACCCCCGCCTGCGTCCCCCTGCACGCCAACAGCCAGGCTCGGAGACCTTGCACCCAGTATAGCCCCAGCCAAACCCAGCCCAGGGGAACAGGGTGGGGGGACCAGGCAGCTCATCCTCTGGGCTACAGACCCCATTCCCCAGCCAAGCTCTCCTCCCTGGCTGCGGGAGAGCAGGGAAGCAGGGCCCTGAGGGCCCAGCACCGCACCTCTTTGTCCGTGAAGATCTGGATGAAGTCCCGCAGCGAGAAGCAGCCCGTCTGCAGCATCAGCTCCCCTGTCTCCTCCACGCAGGGCCCCGCGAACACCAGCAGCTTGTGCTGGGACACGTCCGTGATGAGGTTCCGCAACTGAGGATAGGAGGGGACGTGAGGACATTGTGTCCCCACCTGGACCTTGTCCCACAGCACTGCCCCACGAGCCGCTCCATGCAGGCTGGAGCGGAACGGGACACAGCCATGTCCCTACGCCCTGGGCCTCCCCTGCTCACCTCATCGCACAGGGACTTGTCCGAAGGGTTAAGCAGCACCAGGGTCTCCAGCACGTCTCCCCGGTGGTGGAGGGTCCGCTGACCTGTGGGGAATGAGGGCTGACACCTGGCCCAGCACCACCTTCCCCAAAATGCTGGGGACCCTGGGGCAATTGGGGGGGGAGGCACCTTGCAGGTTGGGAGCCCCACAGCTGGCTCAGGTTTCTCCCACTTGGAGAGGAGGGGCTGGACGTACCCAGCACATGGCCAAGGCGGTGGTGGGGACAGAACCTGCCCATTTTCGCTGTGCAAGAAGGACAGCCACCAACCTGCTCCTGGCCACCAGCTGGACACGGTGGAGGCCAGCGGATCTGCTGAGCCGAATGACACGTTTCCCTGCATCCTTCCTGTCGCAGGGAGGGGAGGAAGAAGCAGCTGGCCAGGCTGGGGGCACCCCATCCTCTCCCCCATGAGCGGGGCTGCACAGCCAGCGTGTTACCTGCCTGCCCAAGAGCCACGGCCCTTTCCTCTCTGCACGGCACGAGCCCCAGATGCCCACCACAGTTGCAGCACTGCATCTGCCCAGCCCAGGCGGGCAGGCACCCAACGGCCCTGCTGCCCAGGGAGCACGGAGGAACCCAGGTGTCCAGGCTCCAGTCAGGCCCTTGTCCCACGCCAGGCCCAAACAGGAAGCCTAGAGAGCACATGGAGACCCGCTCATCACCCTGCCCTGGGGTGACCCCCTGCCTGCACAGGAAGGACAAGTGGACGCGGCAGGGAAGACATCTTCCGGAGCGGCACGGCCTCGGAGGCGGAAGCAGCAGCTCCAGCAGGCCATGGGCAACAGCCTGCCCCCCGGCTTCTTGGCTGTTTCCTCAGGAAATCACACCCCTCAGCACAGCCAGACCCCAAAAAGCACCACGCACCCAGGGCCAGAGCTGGCACTGATGTCCCAGCTCAGGCTGGGCAAGGCTGCCTGGAGGGTGATGGCTCTGGAGGGGAACATCCCAGCAACGCAGCCCCACAGCAGGCGAAGGAAGTGGCTTTGCCAGAGGCAGAAGCACATGGGAATCACGGGGCTCAGTCCCACTGCCGCCAGCCTGGCTGGCCACAGCCCAGACAGGGCCCAAGGGCTCAGGCAGCTGCGTCACGCTTTAGCTGAGCACCAGCGCAGTGGAATCGCTGGCCCTTTCGCTGCGGCAGCATCTCCTCTGCTTCCCACGATGGACGGGGAGAGGTTTGGGCTCCAGCACGCAAAGGAGCAGCAGACCAGGGTGGTTCCCACTGTAGAAGAGAGGCTCTGCCAGAGCTGGGAGCTCATTTGACCGTGTTTCCCAGCTCAAATGCCAGTGCATGCAGTGGCATCAGCAGGGAGCACTGAAGGAGAGAGGGCTCCCACAGCGGGGCTGCTTCAGGGCACAAGGAAGAAGCTGGTTCCTCTGACTGCTCCCTGCTGCTGTGGGGCACCAGGACAGGCACCCAGCGGGACTACGGGTACTGCATCCCCTGCGGCCAGGCCAGCATCAGGGCAGCTCCTGCTTGGCGAAAGGAAGCACCTCTGCAAGGCGGTAACGCACAGATCCCAGGCAGAGGCGATGACTGGGAAGCCCTGGAAGCTGCTGCTCCCCTCACCAAGGCTCTGGTGAGGGGCTGAGCCCAGGAAGGGCTCCGCAGCTTGGCTCGGGCCCCTGCTGAGCTGGCCAGGGCCTCCGTCACCCCCACGCACCAGCAAACGGCTGCAGCAGCTGCTCAGCACAAAGCATAGCCTGTTCCCGGCTGTGCTGGGGGCGGCGGGGACGGTGCCCACCCGGGGATGCTGCGGGGGCTGCTCACACCTCCCACCCCCACAGGCACCCCCGCGGCCTCCCAGCCCGGGCCGTTCACAACAAGCTGTCCTTTCTCCGCGACACAGCCGGAGCCACCCCAGCCCACGAGACGAGAGTGGGAGCAGACAGCCCCGCAGACACTGCTGCATCCCCAGGGCAGCCCTGGCCTGCCCTGGGGGACACCCCAGCTCCCCACATAGGTGAGAGCCAGCCCCACTTGGAGGAGCGGCAAGGGACACAGGCAGCCCGGCCAGGCACGAGCAGCTCCCCCAGCCCTCAGCCAGGACCTGCCCTGAGGCCTGGGACAGCGTCAGGGAGGGAGCACACAACTAGCTCAGCACAAAAGCTGTTTTATAGACACAGCTAAATGTTTGCCCAGCTCAGCAAACAGCAGTCAGCGAGTGCAAGACCCCGGCTTGCGGCAGTGCTGCAGTTGCCTCACTCGCACCCCGTCCCCTCTGGAGATGCATGAATTAAACACAGCCACCGGGTCAGGCGAGGACCCTGCAGACGCGTGCTCCAGCCCACGCTCACTCTGCGACAGAGAAAGCACCAGCCAGTGTCCTTAGCGAGCCAGCTGCACCTGGGGCTGCGGGGTGCCATCTCCAGCAGGCTCCAAGGGCTCAGCCCCAGCCAGGGGAGGCAGGGGTTCACCCCTGCTCCCAGACTCACCTTTCACGATGCTGGAGAAGGTGGCTGAGTGGCGGGACACAAAGAGCTTTAGCTGTTCATCCAGGTTGCAGGCTGTGAGGTCGATGTCCCAGGAGCGGATACCTGCAAGACAGGGCAGGAAGGATCAGCCCTGGGTGCAAGGTCAGCCCCAGGGCACGCGGGAGGCACGAGGCACCCATGCCTGCCAGAGGGCTCCCAATGCCCAGCTGCCCTCCAGCACCCTGAGCCACTGCTGCACCCCAGGACACGTTAGCACCCATCGTCTCCATCACCAGGTGCCATCAGTGCCCAGTCTCAGCATGCCACAAGTGACAGCGAGCACCCAGCCCTAGCACTGACTGCAGAAATGCCGGGAGGCACCATGCCCCGTGGCAGCAGCCCCCTCCCCGTGCCGCAGCACGCTCGGGGGCCAGGCCTGCCTCGCGTCACCACCTCCCTAATCCCTGGCATGGCACCGGCTTATGTAAGACCCGGGGAATCCGGCTGAGCCGGGGATGCTGAGCAGCCGCTGCAGCCCCTGCAAGTCAGCGCCGCACTCCCCACCCAGCCATGCTGGGGACCGCCCCCCACGTCTGCCCTCATTCCCCCCCACCTTGCCCTGAGCCTGGGGGACAAGAGCAGGGGCCGCGTCAGGCCAATGCCACTGGCCAGCATGGGGACCTGTGAGGCCTTTTCACAGGAGGGAGCAGAGCTGCTTCAACCTCTCCGCGGCTGCAGGAGGGCCAGACCCAGGCCCGGGGCCTCCTGCTCCTCCCAGCCCCACGCTGACTCGCAGCGCGGGCTGGGCCCCGGGCTGCTTTGGCCGAGCCGCGTTCAGCTGGA